AATTTATAAGTAATAGATAGAGATGCATACATAAAAGTTAGATTTATTCAAGACTAACTTAAGGACATATGCCATTGTTTAAATTGAGGATGCAAGTGAGGTAAGAAAAATAGCATTTAGTTGTAAAGCTGAGACAAAAACATTGACAAATATTTAACATACATTTAGCCTCAGAGGATTTGAGGTCGCATTGTCGAATCGAAATATCTAGCCTTAGTAAACCAATTTACTGATTAGGCAAGCCAGTTATCATCAATATTATCTCAGGTAAACTTGTTTCTCATATATATTGTGATAGTATTTTGTAATATTTTCACTTATCTTTATTGGAATATGCATTTGCTCCTCTTTATTCTTGCTTGGTAGACCTCGGGAAAATAAAGCAAACCCCTAAAAATCGTGGCGAATGAAATAATTCACTGATTTAAAATAATCCTGGGTTTGATTCATAAACTTCCAGAACAAGAGCATGCTTTTATACAAATTGCCTGTAGTGAGGCTCAAGAATTGTCTTACCTATTTTAGATAAATTAAATTTCTTCTTTAAAGGCCGTCAAGATATAACCCGGTGCTTCTAGTCTGTGATAATAAAGGGTCCTGAACTTGATTCTGCGATTAAGTACTTAATGTGATGTCGAAACAAATCCACAGTTTATGTATTCTTAGAGCTGAAAGCTAGTAGAGCATTAATCTCAAAAGTATCTGCCAAATAAGGAACAAATAAATTGGAATGCGCCATAAGATTATTTAGTCATTCAAGATGTGACATTTGAAACAAACCAAACCTCGTCTAAATCAAAGTTAAAGTGAGAGCGCCGATAAATCAAATATTTATTTGGCATTTAAACTAACGACGTTACTTATTTTGAAAGTGAGTAGGTTTCAAGACTATCAGTAATTCCTCCTTGAGAATTTATTCTTTTAAGTGCACTTTTGCACCATCATCTTAGTAATACTCAAAATAAGTAGATCCTTTTATAGGCAGGGCTAAGCGAAATGTCACTCCCTCCTGAGGCCTACTTATATCAACGGGATAAAACTTAAATATAGGTCCCTGAACCAATTTCTCCTTTAAGAATAGGTGATAGTTTCTAATCCTGCTCAAATTAAGGATTATTAGTGTATAAAAGCATGATTTAGCGACTCTACCGCACACGAAATGATCCTGATCATCATCTTCATAGCAGCAGTTGGTAATGAAGCTGACATTTTTATGCTTTTGTAAGTAATAGAAGTGCTCATCTGCCTTTGTGATCGGCATGATGCATTCTACCGGAGTCGCAATGTAAATAATTTAAAGTCGCTTTCAGGATGCATTCTTTTCCGTTTCAAGAGGGATTGCAGACTATTTTCGTGCAATCATAATTATTTGCCGCAACTTCCTGCTATCTCGCGTTGTTATTTTAACATTTTTAATAATCCCCTAAATCAGTGTCAGATCGGCTGAATGGATAATCATTACAGAATTGAACTTAGTAAAAAAGGAAGATAACAATTTTAAGGTAAAAGTGTGCATCCCCATGCCAAATCAGGACTCGAAAAGACCGAAATAATTATAGGATGTATGCATTGCTAGCATAGTCTGACTGAGTATGTCGGCTTGCCTAGTGATCCAACGCTCTTGTATGAAAGGAGAAAAACAGACAAACTCTGGGTCACTGGGCACAGACCAACATTTGAAATTAGGTTGTGTTATCAACTTCTGAGTTCTGCCTCATTCAAACCCATTCAGAACAGCTCAAAATCCGGTTGGATTCTGCTTCTATTCCTAGGGCCTGCATAATGTTGTCTCTGAGTTTGCCTTATTTTGACCCGCTATAGTTGTGTCGTTGACAAAGTCTGGTCACTTTGAAAAGTTGTAACTTTGTGCTATGGATGGCACCTGCACTGATGATGCGATGTTAGAAATCTCGATTATTCTATCAGAGCATGTATGATTAGATACATTCCACAAGGTATCTCTGAAGCTTCGAGCAAGTTGCGAAAACAAGATCGAATCAACACTATGAAGCCTAAAGCAACTGCGACCGCTCCAGCTTGGTCTTAATACCTGGGCATAGTTGACCTGGGGACAGATTTCAGTGGGTAATTGGGCGACAATAAATCCTACCTGCGTCTGCAAGGCAGCAAAGAGAACAGCCTCGTCGTCGGTTGGTTGCACCGTCTCCGCGACAATGCTCCAGCGAGCCTGTTCGTAGAGCTGATTGATGCGCACCGAGTCATACTTTGCGTTAAGATCGTAGAAGGAGCCGTATTTGAAGCGCAAGAGCAATAATGGAGCCTGGCTCGGCTGACAGGCTCGACTGACGCCAGTCGTGGTTGGCAACGTCTCTGCAGCCGGCATCTCGCGTTTCGCCTCTTTAGGCAGCCGATGTGTGGTACCGTTCTGATATATGCAGCAACTCTCCGAATTGGCCATCGAGGACATACTGGCGAACGGATCGACGCCTTGCTCCATGAGAGATCGGGCCGAGTCGAGCCAGAAAGCCGACAGACGCGCCGTCTGCCGGAAGTTGTCAGGACGTACCAGACCGCCGGAGCGCAACGCCTCTGCCAGGCCGACTCTGAAGCTGGTCGTCAGGCTGGGATCGTCCATGGCGCGAAGTTCAAAAGCGAGCGTATGCAGTGAGCCGAGAAAATGGCCCGGTCCAGAACAACTCGGCGTAATGAAGTTGAGGTACTGCGATCCGCTGGTGCCACGCGACAGTGAAGTGGAGTCCACGCGAGAGTGGACCGGATGCGAAATGGTTTGCCGCAGTTGAGGTGGGCCGAAAAGGCGTGCAGCAGACCCGCGACGCTCGGTCGTCATGTCGACCGTTTCTGAGTCTCGAGGGCCACCGAGCACCGCCGAAAGTTGGACTGTAGAATCTTCTGCGCCAATGTCACCATTTGGTTGCTCTTTGAAGGCATTCTTCACCTGACTACGCATTCTCACACCTTGCATCGGTCCGATTGTATTGCTGCGGGGGGGACAGTTGCTTAGTCCAGTGAGTGTGGACCTCCGAGTTTGAGTGGGCAAAGTCGCAAGTCGGTTGCTTGGGCCAAAGCTCTGAGAGGCGTCTCGCTTTCCGCCGTCTTGCAATTGATGCCGTGCCCCAGAAGCAGAGCCACCCACCGAAGAAGGCGGCGGAAATGGTCTCGAGTATTTGAGATCCTCTTTGCTGGCCGGCCGACAGAGTGACAGCTCCTCTGGATGCCGGATGCCCAGCTGTCGGCAGGCGGAGAGTGTGATTCGGAAGACGGGCTCGACAAAGCTGACGTCCGTGAAGTCACGCGTCTGTAGATCCGGCAGTTGGATGCGCAGACGACCGTACTTTGGAATAAACTGCAACTCAGCGTCGGCATGGATGCCCAACTGGTCGAGGCTGACTCGTTTATGCGTCAGCCAGCGCTGTTTTCCCTGCCACCACAGTGCATAATCGTTCCAGCCGCCTTTTTGTGAATTGTTGGCGCTGCGAAGAGATATCAAACCGGAGCCGGTCCAATTTCGGCTGCTCATATTTTGTGGAGGAGGGTCGAGCTCTTCAATCAGTTGCAGCATGACCTTCCCGATGGACCAGGTACCATGCACCCGGAGGCATTTTGTGATGCCGATCACCTTTATGCACACCCTCAGCAGCCACGAGCCATCTATGTAATGTCCATCCTCCGAAATCATGCCACTACACGGCTCCATGTTTCACGACGAATCAGTCAGATTATAGGATATTATAGGAGGTAGAATACGGCAAAAAGTAACGGTGATAACATGAACGACTCCATTAAAGTAAGAATAGACCTCAAGGCAGACCCAGCAGGACTGAGACTAGCCTCAATCAGGCGTGAGTTAATCTGAATAATGCCAGTCGTGGGGTGCGTGTGGTTATCCGAACAGAATAATGGAATAAAAATTAAGTCCAAACACGTCAATTTGAGGGAATCACTTCGACGACATTAACACTGTCTATAGCCCGCAACCGGAGATGATCTTTATTGATAGAAATGGGCTTGCTTGGGCAAGGCTTGCCAATCAACGATGTCGTTGCAACTCAGTCATTCAGTGGTTAATTGAAGAGACACACTAACCAGTTAAATGTGACCAAGACATCATCGACTGAATCCCCCTTCGTCACGCAAAGGGTTGAATGTTGATTCGCTTTCGAGCCTCGTAATAAGTTGACCAATCAGAGTTGGCTATTCAACTTCAGCTGCAGTTTTGATTCGTCCAAACTATTTGACCTTCAAATATTAGTTTGCTATTAACCAATTAGCTGTTAGCAGACATTTTGCTGCTACCACCACCGTCAAATCAATCCACTTCATGCCCTTGAAAGATAAACTTTGATTGAGAAGCGTTATGAGATGCATTCACCCTATTTCGTCTAAGGTGATGAAGGACTGGTAGTAGAATATCATATCATTGTGGGAAAATACTTCTTCTACCAGTCCTTCATCACCTTAGACGAAATAGGGCGAATACAGCTCATATTACTGGTTTACTGGTAGTCTCGAAACTCTACTCTAATATGGGAAGCGTTAGTCGGATACTCGCTATACTGGATGGTCTTATGACACCAACAAATCTATGGTAAAGTGGAGTTGAGTTTAATTAAATTTCGCACCAACTGTGTCCGACATTGCATTATTCATTTACAAGGCTCGTAACTATAACTTCCTACAAATCGTAAATTATTTGATTATATTACTTTACCTCATTATGACTATTCATTCATAATTTCAATCTTAACCTGAAAAATTCAGGTTAATTGACCTGACATTACTATGTACAGACACGAAACACTGACTCATAATTGTAGGTAGTAATTTCTTTTATAAAAAGTCAATAATGATAACATGTCCCCTACTTTGATTTTACCAACTTAGAAGTTAACAAATTCAGAAACTAAATTTACATCAACTACTTTTTGAGAGGGCATTTATCAAGACCAAACAAAAATGTCAAGGAGCCCATTGCAATTTGAGTTATGCATGCAAAACAGTACCACTTAAAAAGCTACCCAATTTTCGGCTTATCAACCATCCATTTTCCTTAACTCATGCTGGCCTGCATATGAATAAATAGTTTTTGTATCTCAGTAAATTTAAGAGACTCTTAGTATGCTTCTGGCATTTCAAGTAGACTTTACCGATTTCGTTGAGTCTTCAATCCTGAACAACTGATATGCTAGCATAACCACCTTATTACACTATTCTTTCAAAAACATGAAGAGAATTGATTGGACGGTTATGATAACAGCCAGTAATCTGCTAGCAGCTAATCAGCTGCTATTATTTGAAGGTCAAACCTCTTAGACGAATCAAAATCGTAGCTAAAGTTGAATAGTCAACTAAAAATATCACTTTAAAGCGGGATATATATAGAATGAATTTATCACTTTAGGTATCCACACTGCCTGAGAGACTTGTAGTGGCAAAAGAGCCTTCCTTCCAATCCCATCTAGCAACAACTCTGTAACGCATACAAGTGGCAATCTTTAGTTGATAATGCAGATGCAGCCGTGACCGCAGTTGCATATAGATTGATGCAGGCATCATGATTTGAAAAGATTGGACAAATTTCGCAATGCCAAGAGTTTAGAATTTCTGGTTATTCGTGAGGGAAAATCCAGCTTCGCAGAGGGGTATGTAATAAAAAAGGGAGTTGTCGAAAAACTACGGCCTTTGCTTCTCAAGCCAAGTTCAAATAGTATTGGCTATTGCCTCTTTAAAAAATTACTACAGAAATCTTGCGAAGCTAGCTCTAGCCTTATTGTGCAACCGTCGACTAAGCACGTGGAATGCTAATGGATCTATTACCTTCACTAATACTCTGAGGCTGAATTTGTCTAGACGGAAAAACAGTTTAATTCGAGTCAACTAAAATAGATCTGATCGTAATTGTGAAGATTAAAATAGTGGAGTTTTAGGTTTAGTCGCAGTATCCGCTTGTTGCATAATGCTGGTTTGTCCTCGTTTTCACAGCTTTGTCAGGAGAAACTGGACACCTTGTTTAAGGTAACCAGTTCTGCGTCCTTTTCCATATTATTCAAAATAATTTCTAGCATCTAAAAAATTACTTCATACATTTACAGGCGTATCGCCAGCATCGTGATCGGCATCATCAGTAAGAGGTATCATCCTTAGAAGTGATTTACAGCACATCAAAGGGGCAAGTATAGGCCATCCTGACTGATTTTATATTTTTCGAATTAAGTATTGTTTTCGTGACTACCAGTTAATCAGCAATATGAGATGTATTCATCCTATTTA